CTCTCGTCCATACTCGTATCCGCGAGCACGAAACGGCCGCAAAAGCAGCGCGCCGATAATCCTGAAGGTGGATGCACCACGACGGCGGATGCAGCGCGGCCGGCCGAAGTCGATATTCTGCCGGCTCGAGTCGATATCACGCCGCGGCTATCTCGCTGTCCGCGTGTTCGCAAAATCGTGCGAGTCATCGCGCTCGCCAGGTAGATAGGATAGGTAGGTAGGTAGGTAGGTAGGTAGGTTGCTTGGTTCGCGCGCTTAGACAAACGCCACAAAGTCACTTCTCGATCGTCGCTTTCTATGCGAGAAACAGACGGACTTATGGCTTACGTAAGGCGGAAAAATAGAGCGGGCCCCGGCAACCGATGCCGTGACGCACGCTTGTTCGAAAGGTCGTCCCTCGAGAAAGGACAGAAACAACAAAACGCGTAACTGCGAGCGAAAAAAAAGGTAAGGGGAAAAGGACAAAAAGGAAGTAGCCGATACTGCGAAACGCGTAATGCAGCTTGTCCGGTTAGCGATATTCAGTAATCGGTCGGTGATAGCGGTGTAGTTGACGTAGAGCCACGTAACTGGTGGCCGGAAGGTTTCAACCGTTATTTTTAACAAGTATCGTGCAATCGGTTTCCGCTATTTAGCCGGTATCGTTTTGCGTATCACCTTTGAGTCAAATTATCATTTTCTCATAGAATATTACAATATTAATGTTCTTGGTTATATATTATTAGTCTAAAAATATATTCTTGTTTGGAGAATATCTTTATTGTTGGCATTTTAAAAATATTATTATATGGCATTGAACAAAGGTAAATTAGTCTTCAATCAAGACGAATATTATCAAATTAACACAATCATTTTTTCATATATAAGCAAGAATATCAATATTGCTGGTTATATATAAGAAAATGATTGTATTAATTTTTGATTATATTCGTCTTGATTGCAGACTAATAACAATGTTATATAATCTCACTTTAATATTAATCTTATTTTCTAAATGTCAACAATAACAATATTATTCAAACAAGAATATTTTTCTAGATTAATAATATATAACTAAGAATATTGCAATATTCTATGAGAAAACGATTGTGTTAATTTTTAATTTTTTTATATTAATCTTATTTTTAAATATCAACAATAAAGATATTCTTCAAACAAGAATATTCTTTTTTCTTTATGTGTATATCCCAGAGCTTATCAGATATATACTTTGCAAAAGGAATATTGCAGCAAAATAAATCTCGATTGTTTTTGCGTATGATAATTTCTCGACAAAGGAAGAATATTTTCGCGATTCGCGGTCACGCGACGCAACCTCGAGGACGCCTGGGTAGGATGTAACAAGTGCGCGGTAATAGCGGAAGACGATCGGCGACGATGACGTGGGATGATTGGTAATGGAGCGAGGTAACGCGACAATGACGTTGCATATACGCGAGAGCGACCGCGCTCGCGCTCCGTTAGGCAAACGCGGAACGGAAGTGCATCAGCGGCAACGTGCATCTAACCGTTGAGTCACAAAGTGACAACGGTCGAGTTACATAGGCATCGCGCTGTTGCAGCTTCGGTCGAAGGTGCGGTGACCTCCGCCGCCGGGGGAGAGTCTTGCGACGAGAGAACTCTCCGGCGGCATTACGCGCGCAAGGCGAACGCTACTTTAGCCGGCATGTTGAGCAACAATTAGCGCCGCCCGCTACGTACTCAAAGAGTGTTTCGGATAGCCAACAAACTAGAGGGAGTTCTTACGAAATTTTTTTTTCAAAGAAAAATCAGGATATCAATACATAGGACCAAGTACGAGTAATGAGAGCCAGGATTTTAATTTGCGTGATTAATTATTTCGGAAGAGGCGAACAAGACGCTTAATGTTCATACAGTAGT